TAAAAATTCCTTATGATAAAATTAAATCAGATAATAAAATATCTAAGAAGAACTTTTTGCATGTCTTTCTGAAATAATCATACGTAAACTGTGAGGAAACCTGAAGTTTTAATAAACGATGATCAGCAAAGTACTTGAGATTCGAATGATTAGTAACAGTTATTTATGATCAAAAGTAACAAGTATATACTCTAAAATAAACAATTTTACAGATAATGTCCAAAACAATGTTTCCTACTCTTTTTTAAATAATCGAATTTCTCCAATTCTACTTATACCTATGTTCTATTTATGCTTATATTCTACTTATACTTCTATACTTATTATTTGCTGCACATTACCTCATGAAATAAAGCTGCATTTATATTTTTACAATGTAAAAGATGTTTCATACATTACACAGCACTCAAAGAATTAAGAGAGGAATAGAAAAGAAAATGGAGCAAAGTTTTGATTAAGGATACGAAGATAATTGGAGCATTATGTACATTGGTTCATGTACTGAAATTTGTGCAGTGGAATTAACGACATATTAGGTTAAGGAACTGAAGTTCCCTAGTACCTGTAAGTTTCTACATCAAACCTGAAGTTTAACCTAAAACGAACTGAACTGAGTTAAAATCAATGACATATGTATAGATACTAAATCAAAAATTTATTCTTTCTCCACCATCTAGTTTCTCGTTTTGAATCTCACAGAGTTAGGTTGTTTTATAATCGCGCTCTAAGCTACCATGCCTACGCACCGGTTTGGTCCATGAGGAGAGGCCTTTCCCTACCGCGAACCGACTATCGATCACCCCGCTGTTAGGGGAGAGATGAAGAGGGAAACCATTAGTATAACAAAGGACTTCCAATATTGGTAAGGAAATTAGGAAGCACCAATTATATGCAAATGACTTCGCAGAAGAAATAGAGCAAAAGTGCTTTCATCGACCAGCGATCATCATAAATAGGTTTAGAATGAGATACCAAGCAGATGAATTGATAACTTTAAAAGATTCACAGACTACTCCATCCGCTGACTTAGAAATGGAGAAAAACAAGACCGAGGAGACCCCAAAGGCAGATGGCCCAACTGAGCCAGCAGAGCCTCCAGCAGAAGATCCGACCACAACACCGGTTGATACTACTATAGTCACAGAAAAGCCAGATACAATCACCATCCCAGCGCCTGCTATCCAACAACAGACGTCTACTAAAAATCAACAGAAAAAGAAAAATGGAAAAATAATAGTATCAACACGGTGACGCAAGATGATGATTCAGAGTCAGATGGAGAAACAACCCGCCGAGAGAAAAAGGCACAAGTGGCACCACCTACGGAGGCCACAACCCCGGAAACGATGGAACAACTGGCAGCAGCCGTAGCCGAGATGACGGAGGAGGCTTCCACTGCAAAAGACACTCCAGATAAAATCCTACAGCCCACCAGTATGAGTTTGAAATTTCTCATCCTAAGATTAGACAGAGACTTCCAAATTCCTGACTTGGAGAAATATCTTATGGACAACGGTTTCTCAGTGCAATAAATCATACAGCTGAGGAAGAGTTCCGACGAGGAGCTTTGGCTCCTCCCCTTTTCCTGATTATCCAATCAGACAACGACTCTCATGGAGGAATCTACAACATCTCTCTGATGATGGATATTTCAGTCAAGATCCGACGTATCAGAGGAGGCCGATACCAGTTTTAATGCTATTGTTGCCAGGAATTTGGACATACACAAAGATCTTGTTCATCAGAACCTGATTGCATGAAGTGAATTACGAATTACGGGAGGACATTACTCGTACGAATGTATGCAATCAAGAGATACACCACCGACCTACATTAACTGCAAAGAAAACCATCTAGCATTCTTCACTGGCTGTATTGAGAGCCCTAGAAAGAGATCTCAACACAAGAACCGACAGCACAGGAGTGCAGTCAACTCAGCCGCCAGATTATAGCAAAGTTCAGTTCAGTTCAGTTTGCCAGAGACTAAGCTTATTCTTAAAAGCTTGAATTTTACTGGCTGCAATTATGATAGTTGAATTTTCACCCTGCAAGCTCAAATTTAAATCATTAAGTTTTTCGAAAATATCAGCTAAATAGCTCAGCTTCCCTAACCAAACTTCATTGATATAATAACTTGCCAATCTAAGTTTCTTTTCGATTAAAAAAATGTACACTTTATTTCTCAAATCAAATATCCGTCGTAGTATTTTCCCACGTGAAAGCCATCTGACTTCGGTGTGTAACAGTAATCTCTCATACGTTGAGCCCATCTCATTGCAAAGTATTGAAAAGAGACGGCTGTTGTGGCTGTTGCATTTAATGTAGTTAATTGAACTAACAGCGTCTTGTAATACGTTGTGCAACTCTTCATCCATATCTTTTTCAACAAGAGCTTGCCGATGAATCATACAGTTATTAAATACAATATGAGGCGCCACCTTCTGAATTAAGCCTCTGAGCCCTTTATTCGAACCTGTTAATGCTGCAGCACCATCAGTTAATGCTGCAGCACCACCGCAACACAGTTTGCCCAGGTAAGAGACTTTGTTGAAAAATATTCATTTATTACTTCGAATATTTTTTCTCCAGTTATTTTTCCTTCCAAACTTTTACAACATAAAAAAGTTTCTGCTATATCTTCATTAAAAATAAACCTAACGTAAATAATTAGTTGTGACATTTTAGTAATATCGGTAGTCTCGTCCAGTTGTAAAGCAAATACAGATGAATTTTTTATGCGTTTTATGACTTCTGACTCGATATTTCGTGACATAGCGGAAATCCGCCGAGACACGGTATCTCTTGATAATGGTATTGTTTTTAGTTTATTTCCATATTTATCGCCATGTATAATTGATACCATCTTAGTTGCTGCAGGAAGAATAAGGGATTCTCCAATTGTATGGGGCTTCATTGTTTTTCCTATTAAATAAGAAACTTCTAAAGAAGCTCGTAATGCTTTCTGAGGTATTTGTAAATTTCTTTAAATGTGCACTTTAAATTTTCAGATTCTCAGCTCGTCTTTGAAAAAAATCGGCATGTTTATTTTGAAGTAATTTATGTTTAGTTTCCAGGTGCCTTTTTAATTTAGCTGGTTTCATAATCTCATTTGCTAATTTTTCGTTGCAAATGACACATTTCGGGGGTTCTTCATCATCAACAACACAAAATGTAAAACCATACTTAATAAATTCCTCATTGTATTTTCTTACTTTTTTTAGATCGGGCATTTAGTTCAGTATTTCGCTACTCCTCATCAGTATTTGTTCGTTTGTTAGCTGAAGATGTACCTGGTGTACGTATTACCCATTTATCCATTATGAACATAGGGGTTAAATTATTTAAACTAAAACAAATAATCTATAAAATTTTATCATTTTTTTTCGAGAAATTCATTAAAATTAACAGAGATCTTTCTCTAATGATGGTACATACCTGATAACAAAGAGTAGCAAAGCCCGATAAAAATATAAAAAATCAAAATTACACTGTGTGGTTAAGTATTACTTCAATACTTATTAAATAAATGAACGAGATCTAGCATCTCGCAAACACATTTAATGACAACCTAACGAGATACACAAACACAAACTGAAACTAAACATAAATGCAAACTGAAACTAAAACTAAACAGTTAATACACAGTCACAGTTAATCTGGCTGATGCCACATACACGTCACATGATAAAACTCGAGGATAAACTAAAACAATTGCAGGCCAACTGCTACATGCTACAACTTCATGCGAACACTTCACGTCTTCTGACTATCAGATACACCGCGTACCTCGCCATCTGATTGGCTGATCACGGAAACGAATTTTTGCCCTTTCCCTGCAGTTAACGTCGAGTCAAATAGGCGCTTTTCAGTAAAACTGGCGAATTACCGTGAAGAGGGCGCTATCTACCGGAGTGAAAAACTTGCGTCTTCACACTTTACATACATTACGCATTACGGTCAAAGAAAGAGTGGACAGCATGAAATTGTAATTAAACAGTGACTGACGGCGCTTTACTCTTTATATGTACACTGTATGGTATGCAGCATGCGGGGATAATGCATTTCATAAAAATTTGGCGACCCCCAAAAAACATCTGGCGATCCCCACAGGGGTCGCGACCCCTAGTTTGCGCACCTTTGTGTTAATATACGGGGGGGAAAATAACTTCATTTCTAAATATCGTTGATGAAAATTTTATAGTGCTTTGGAAAGCTAATGAACTGAAGTTCAAATATGGATAATAATGAAAAACAACAAATCGAAATTTTCGTCGAAATTGGAGATTTTTAATCTGTCAGATACCTCCATGTTGAAAAAAATCTTTTCTTTTTTTTCTTCTAAAAAATGAGAAAAAAAATTTTCTAATATTTTTGACTGAATGAAAGTTTGGACTACTTTGCGTTATTTTTCTTTTCGTAATATTTAGTTTTCGTAATTCGTAGCTTTTAGTATAATTTTTAGTTAAATTTATAGTTTTCTATTTCACATTTTTCGTCACATATTGATATAGTTTTATACATGTATAATTTTATGTAAGGCGTAATGAAAATGCAAAAAGAAATCAGACAAGTACTAATATTTCCAATAATCTGACATATTGCATCCTTTTTCTAAAAAAGAAAAAAAAAGGAAATAAATTTTTCGGTCAAAGAGATTTACATAAAATCTCGCGAATCATGATGAAGAAATATTAAGAATATTAAATTATTTTCCCGAAATATTTTTAAAAAAATCATTTGGAATAGATTTTATTTTCCCCTTGGAGCGATTAACACTCGTATGGAGGATTGACCACCCTTTATGTGCCCTTGATGATGTCACATTTTTAGTTATTTAATTGCAACGTCTTTAATAAATACGCCCTAATATAAGGAATACCTATAAGCACAATTTCAATAGCATAAAAAATAAAGCAGTTATACAGAAAAAAAGAGTGTGATTTCGAGAACTGTTATTTCAAACCTAGAAACCGTTTCCGTGGAGCATATCGTAAGGTCAACCAGTCTTATCTCATCTTACATCTCCATCAATGAGAAGTAATCGAGTCGTATTTTTGTTTTAACTTTCAAACTGAAATTTAAGTAAAGTTACGCGACATTATTCAACTTTTCGAACTTCGGCGATGGAAGGACACACAAAGAGTTTTTCTTGTCATGGTCTGTATTAATTTATTAACACTCGGTAATCTTAACTTATTTTCATTAAAAACTTTGGTTCATAGTTTAAAATGTTCTTACAATTTTCTTTTTAAATGTAATTTTATAAAATTTTAAACTAAATTGATAGTTTGATCTTTACATTTTTTTTCATCCACACATTCTCCGAATTTATCGACAACTGAAATAAATCTTCAGATAATTTATAATTAATAATATAAAACTGATATGTATTTTTAAAAAAATCATTCTTAAATAAAACTTTATGTATTTATTTATTTTTAATTTTTTGCCAACATCTCTCGAAGTTTTTAAATAAAATTAATTGAATTTTTTAATAAAATGATTAGTAAATAAAAGGGTATTATTTATTTTGTTTAACATTTTAGCAATTTTTTTAACAATTTACCAAGAACTAAGGAAAATTTTTAGGATTTAGCCATTTATACTTAAAAAAATTAATTAGGCATATTCTTAAACAAATTTATTTGTAAACAAAAAACATATTTCTTTATTTTTGAATTTGTATCAACACATCTTTAGAGGTTTATTAATTACTGAAGTAAATCTTTAAAATTTCTCCATTTATAATTAAAAATATTAATTTTACATATCTTTAAATAGAAGCACTAATAGATAAAANTTAGAGGTTTATTAATTACTGAAGTAAATCTTTAAAATTTCTCCATTTATAATTAAAAATATTAATTTTACATATCTTTAAATAGTACTAATAGATATAGTACTAATAGATATACTAATCGATAATTACATTAACATGATACATTAACATCGATACATTAACATCGATACATTAAACATCGATACATTAAATATACTAATAGATAAAACGGAATCAGTTTTTAAAATTTTATTGTCACTTTTTTTTCCGGAATTTACTAATAGCGAAGTTAAATCTTCAAAAAAAACACCATAATAATTAAATATATTAATATCACATATTTTTAAATAAAATTTTTAGTAAATTAAATTTTAATATTTGGATAATTTGAAATTCTTCAACAAATCTCCCAAAATTTTATCAATAAGAAGTAAATCTTTAGAATTTCTCCACTTATAATTAAAAATATTTATCTAACATATATAAAAATACTAAGAGATAAAACAGCATCAGTTTTTAAATTTTTATTGACACATTTTTTTCAGAATTTATAAGTAAGGAAGATAAATTTTCAAAATTTGACCATTTTTAACAAAATATTCTAATTTAACATATTTTTAAATAAAATTATTAGTAAAATAAACTGTAGTATTTCTATGTTTCTAAATTTTTATCTACAAATCGCTCGAAACTTATGAATAATTGAGGTAAATATTCGAAATTTCACCTTTTATAGTTGAAATAATTAATTTGACATGTCTTTAAATAAAATTATTAATAAATAAAACAGCCGTAGCATTTATTTGTTCTTTAATTTTTATTTGCACATCGCTCGAAACTTGTCAATAACTGAGGTAAATATTCAGAATTTCACCATTTATAGTTGAAAATTTTAATTTGACATGTCTTTAAACAAAATTATTAATAAATAAAACGGCAGTAGTATTTATTTGTTCTTAAATTTTTATCTACACATCGCTCGAAACTTGTCAATAACTGAGGTAAAAATTCAGAATTTCACTATTTATAGTTGAAAATATTAATTTGAAATGTCGTTAAATAAAATTATTAATAGATAAAATGGTTTCAAATTTTTAGCTACACATTTATCAGAGTTTATGAAAAAGTGAGCTAAATTTCCAGATTCCTTCACATAATCATACATACATGCATTGATTTTGCGTCTTTGGTCTTAAAGCTTTTCGAAATAAAGCCTTTTAAAATAAAGTTCTTAAACGTTTTTTTTTTTTTCAATTTATCTCTATATCTTCCTAAGCTTATCGGTAATTGAAATAATATTAAAAATTTCTACATTTGTTATAAAAGTTATGATATAACATATTTTTGAATTTGTTAAGAGAGTTCGTATAATTTTAAGGGTGACAAGATTTTATTTAAGAAGTTAACTATGTTCAGTCACAGAAAATGTAACTTTAAATGAATTCATTTGCATTACTATTCCATATTTTAATTAATTAACACTTTTATAAATTATAAAAAGAATGACAGTTTTAATGAATCTGCTCAAAAGTTGTTTTTCTTTTCATATCATGTTTTTATTTCTTATTTTAAAATGGCGAAATGTATTTTTAGAGATTCATTATTTATAAAAAAAACTTTTAAAAAATCAATCATCATGTATATAATTATTTATATAATGACCTTTAAATAACAATAAATTTCTTTTTATAAATTATAATTAATAAACAGAGCTTATATAGTCTTATAAAATTTGCTTTCAAATAAAGTATAATTGTTGTTTCAAATTTCTAAATGAGGAAAATGCTTATGTGAAAGCATTAAGCAATTTTTAAAAAAAATAAATGATTAATTACCACTTGTAAAAAAATAAATATCATTTTTATAAGTTATAAAACTATTGGCAACACTTTAGCTATATAGAACCTATTTTAGAATTATTTCTATCTGTGTTATGCTATTCATTTTCAGTTTTTACTTTTTCGAAATATAAAATAATTTTTATTAAATTATGAGTGTTTTATTTTCTTGATAGTTGGGAAAATTGGTGCATTTGATTCCCTTGGTGTGATAGGTTTCAGGTTATTAAATATGATAAAGTGGTTGTAAAGTGATAAAGTGTAATTAAATATGATAAAGTGGTTTCTTAAATATGATTGAATAAGGAGGCGCTCGCGTGTGTCAGCTGTTGAGGCAAGCAATGCCTGTAAGGTGCTGATGCGCTGACAAACAGGAAGAGAAGATTATTAAATTATGTGAGGTGTTTAAAACTAAGTTACTCTAAACTGCTGGACAAAAAAATGTCTTTCTATATTAAAAAATCGTTATAGGTATTGTCACAGCTGGTGATTGGGATGTTCAACTTTACATATACTATTACAACCAAGATGATTAAAACAAAGTTCAAATATTTGGTTTTGGTGTGCAAAAACTACACATAAATTCTGGGAACTTCAACAAAAGAAGGTATACTGAAAAATGTACATAAAGTATGATGAAAGAAAATTTTTTAAATTTTATAGTTATTTAAAGACTAATTAAACTAGTGTTTAAAAAATACCACGTATGCTGATCTGTAGCCCACAGAAATGCACCTACGGAGTTGAAATATGACGTACACAATGAGCTATTTTTATTTGCGAAATTAACGCGAGTTAAGTAAACATTACCATTTTTTGAAACCGTTTTCTATTTAAACGGTTATGGTGATATAAGTGTATCGTTAACGAGTAAAATTGTTTCTCCTTTATTTTGCTTTATTGTGCCATTCATTCTGAATATCTAAGTACAAATATTTTTTCCAAGCAGAGTTGATTATTTTTCAAACCCAGGAAATCGGTCATTTCGTTGCGATTGATATATTAACAAAATACTCCTATATAAAACTGTAATAGATATATAATTTACTAATTGAATGTTCTTTGTTTTTAGTGCGAAATGTTTCATTTTAAAAGAAATAATGATTGTGAAGTAATCGCGGGGGTTGGTATTGGAAGTCAGCTAATTATAATTTTTTTTACCAAACTTTTTATATTTAATAATTATACTTAATCAATAATTTATTTGTTTTTTAAGAGAAATATTTGGATTTTAAAGAGAAACAAAGATAAATACGAAGCAATCATATGAATTAGCGTGAGGAAGGAAGGAGAAACCAACCTTGTTTTTAGAAAGAAAAATTTTTTTTGTAAACCCTCCAAAAATATAAATAAATAAAAACAAAACAATTAGGTAAATTATTAAAAGAAAAAAATAATTACAAAATCAGTTCCACAAAATAACTCTTAAAAGATAATATATATATACGTGGCACCGTAAAGTCGGGCATTTTTCGGCAACACTATAGTCATTATATATTTTGTTAGGCTATTTTAAGTTATAGTTGAATTGGTGTCGAATCGTTTGTGCTATACTATTAAAGCCTATTTGTTGAAGAAGAAAGTTTTAAAAGGTGACCATGCTTACCACATAAGGTGGCTCGTTTGTTTCAATAATTAACGGGGAGAAAAAAGCATCCTACAAACAAATACCATTTCATATGTTTTTATTCGCATCTCAAGAGGAAGCAAATATTGATTAAAAAGAGGTTATAACTTATCATTCTATCTACTCAAGCTTATCATAGGCTGTCACTTTATGAGTTTATTGCTCGCTTTTGTTGTGAATAGATCATTGGAAAGCTCTTTTCAAGATCAAGGATTTAATAAATGATTCGTGTCTTTCTTATGTAACGAACAATGCAATTAAACTACGATTTAAATAGGTTATTTTTACCTTGACCTTTCCAGAATGTTCTGCTATGTCTTGCTTCAAGAATACTAAATCAGCTATTTAGCAAAAATCGATTGCAAGGTCGATATAATTCCGTTATGTAAAGACATCTCGGGTAAAAATAAAACTTATAATTCGAGTAATAAAACTAAAAAATACTGTATTTAAACTATTCATTCGTAAATTGTTTCGTTCATATGGTTACGGTTTACCAGAAACTCTGGTTTCAGAATTATAGTATTCAGAATTTATTATCACACATTTAGTAAAAAATACAAGACTGAAAAGTAAATTGAACCGAACTAGTGGTTTTTAGTCCAGACACTAAGGTATAATGATAAAATTACCAAACTTTACCACATTTCAAATTCTATCACATGTTGTAAAACAATATTTTATTGTTAACTTTCACATTCTTTTATTTCCACAGACATACACAGATGAACGATAAAACAAAACATTAATAACAATAGAAAGTCGTTTGGTTGCCTAGCAACCAGCTAGAGTTGCAGTTATTATATTGGCAGATGATTTAAAACAATTATTCAAACTAACTATTTATTTGATGTCGGAACAAACTTTACCTAACATAGAGCTTAGGTAAAAATGGTCGTGCAAAATGTTTCAT